GTTTATGGCAGATTTTGACATTTGCGTACTTTTGGGGCATCCATCTGGGAAAAGGGTAACAAAACAACCCAAAAAGTCTCTTCTCCTTTCTCTGCATGGCCAAGGTTGTAAAACCGTTTTATACTAATGTAACGGTTTAGCAAGTGAAATGGTTCGACAGGTGGTATATACCGGTTTGTGCCTGTTCCTGTCGGTCAATATTACGAATAAAATTATAAATACTCATATTTAAACATGACATTTAACGTCAATACTTAAACATTTATACTTGAATCCAACAAATAACATCAATATTTAACTTTTATACTCATAAAATAAATAATAAAATAATTTTTATCAATTCATTTTACTTAGAGATTCGTATATCGATCATGCCGGTGGTGTCACGCCGATTTTATGACCGATACCGGTTGAACCAGGTTCAACCGGTGGCACGCCGGTCGGCGTGACAACCGTGTGTATGGCTCACCGCCAGCCATCTATGTAATATTATCACTAGACCAATCGCCTGCTCGTTTGAATTCTTCTTATTTTTTTATTATAAATTGGGATAAATGTCATGTTTGGTCACTGAGATTACTAAATCATGTGATGTTTAGTCATTAGAAAAAATAATATCAATTTTGGTCACTCGAATTACTGAAACATGTCACATTTAGTCACTCTCCCGTTAGTTTCCGTCGAACTCCATATTAATGAAGTTGGACGAAAACTAAACTTGAATTACTGAAAAATGTTACATTTAGTCACTCTCCCGTTGGACGGAAACTAACGGGAGAGTGACTAAATGTCACATGTTTCAGTAATTAGAGTGACATTCATAAAAAAAAATCGAGTGACAGGAGTTGGACGGAGGCTAGCGGGAGAGTGACTAAATGTGACATGCTTTAGTAATTCGAGTGATCAAAATTGATGTTAATTTTTTCTAGTAACTAAACATAACACGATTTAGTAATCCCAGTGACCTAGTGTGACATTTATCCTTATAAATTGGAATCGACATATTGCCATCGACATCGTTAAAGAGTAGATTCCCTAATAGTTCTGATAAGTAGACCCACATCATGAATGGGATTCCCTTATATATTCCCAGACTTTAAACTCCCGATTGTTTTTCTACTTCTCCTGTATAATAACAGGTAGTTGCTGCGAAAAACAGGAACGTACTAATCAATAATGGTGGTGAGAAGTGGAAGGAACAGGAGGAAGAAATCCTTGTGTGAGAAATCCATGGAGCTGGCTGTCAACATATTCAACTGCTCCTCGCTCTACCTTGCAGCTGCTTTGAGCTTCAAACCGACTCCGAAGTTGCCCACGCCGACGCCTCCTCCTGCAGGCAAACGGCGTCCGAACGCCGCCGTCGGCGATCGAGATGGATTGTTGTCCCCATTTGGTACGTCTCATGCTCATCAGCAGAATCATCAACAGGCTACAAGGCCACACGAGAAGAAGCCTGTAGCAGCAGGGGTTCGATTAAGAGGTGGTGATGGTGATAAGGCCGATATTGATGAAAGGGCTTCAAGTTTCATAAGGAGGATCAAAGAGAGGAACCAGCAAGCATATTATTATTGGGAGCAGCGCTAGTGAATAGTGATCATCAGTCCTAAGAGATTCTCCGACTTTTTATTGCCTTCCAATAGTAACTTGTTTCTCAACAAATTAGTTTGTGCTTATGATATATATAACAAGTGTTTAAAACACATTATCACACAACAATAATAAAAACACATTATTCACTTTATTAAGAAATGTGTTCATATAAATGATGAAGAAATTGTGCTTTTTTATGTTTAGGTAGATTAGATGTGAATTTTTCGATACCGTTACAAATGTTATATCTACATTTGAAACAATTTATTTTAGAATTTCCAAATTTCTTCTTTGCAAATTGCAATATAGTTGTAACATATATTGGCTCTGTTTGCAACTTTTGTGATTGGAGTTTCTAGTTGGAGAGTTTGAAGAATTTGGCTCGGTGAATCGTGAATGTATTTGATTCCTAGTATAAAAAAAAGATTTGAAATAAGTATAAGTATTAATGTATAATTGAGGAAATTGAAAGAAATTATAAAATAGCAATAAAAAGATCAAGTTTTTTTTTCTCTGTCTTGTCTAAAGTTCTGTAACATCCCGAACATTTTTCTGACAAGATATTGTCCGCTTTGAGCCTCTACACTCGCACGGATCGGATTTGCCTTGGGGTGCAATTCAGGATGACTTCCCATAAGGGCACCCATCCTTATTATTGTACTCCACACTGAGCACGTTTAACTTCGAAGTTCTCACAAGAACTCCTCCATTTCACCCCAAAATGCATTTTGTCAGTTAAGGTCGGTTTCTTACTTATGAACCATGGATCTCTCTTATGCTTTGTCGATGTGGGACTTGCCTAAGGTGTTACATACACCCCCCTTGGGACTCAACGCCCTCGTTGAGGTTTGCCCCACCATCGTTCAAGAGGGACGCGGAGAGGCTCTGATACCACTTGTAACATCCCGAACATTTTCCCGACAAGATACTGTTCGCTTTAGGACTCTACACCAGCACGGATTTCGACTTGGGGTTGTGCGGTTGCGGCTGCTCGCAACCTTGTAACATACACTTGCAACATACACTTGCCTAAGGTGTTAAAAATTCAATGGAATTACCAAATCAAACATGAACAAATGTTTACATAATCAACACAAGTCAAACACGAAAATTAAAATCCGATCCTGCCAATGGGAAATAAAAGAAAGGGTATATTTAGCCATCAAACGAGCTATCCTATATACAGTAAAATTAGGGCTCAGATAACGTTTTCAATTTTTTGGTTTTTAACCAAAACCGATCAAACTTATAATGAACTTATCCACTGAGTTTTTATCCCCAATCTGTTTGTATCTTATTGGTTCTGGCCACTGCAAAAAGGAGGGTTGGGATTGCGAGACTTCTATACTTGAAATGTGGCTTGTGTAGGCAGGCTAATTTGGCTATTGTTCATATAATGAGGCAATTTTTGGGTAGCATGGATTAACAAATATAGGATGAAAATGCTCTCTATTTGGAATATACCACATACATCTATGAATTCTTGGGTTTGGAAGCAAGTAATGAAGTTTTGAAGTTGATTTCAATTTCGAATGGATGTGGATGTAGATGTGGCAGGACAGGTGGCTCGCTCTAACTACAACTTCTCAATCGAAGGCCAAGTTCAAACCACGACCGAGTGTAGTATAAGGTAAGCAAGTAATAAAATTATCGAACCAAGGGTCTCTAGATGTACTTTACTTCAGCTTAAGGTTTCATTATCTAGCCAACCTAGAATAGCGATTCGGAAACTAATCTAACTAACCACTATCCTAGCTACTTACAAGTTTGGAGCTCTCTTATTTTGAATCCTCCTAGTTCCATCATGTAGACTGATGTTGCGTACCATCCTAGGTCATTTGACTCAATATCTCTAGCGTTAGAGGATCGACTCCCTCGGGATTGACCTAGAACAACGAAGTGATGGATTGGTAGGTGCTCTATTCAACATAGAGAAACCCTATATCGTTAGTAGATTGATTAAATTGAGTCCCTCAGAGAATTACCAGGCCGACATAGAATGAGGAGGAACCCTAATTGCCAAGAATGGGCTAAAAGAGGATTTTCTCCCTCCTAAATCAAAAGTTCAAATGGCATGAAATGGAATCCAAACTCATGCAATCCATAACAAACATCCATCCAATAGATAATATAAACAATCAAAATCTATACCTAGGGTTCTTCAATTCATAAAGAGAAGAGAGAGCTTACAAAATAGCTCAAGAACTCCATCTTCTTCATCTACTAGGCTTGAACCCTGGACTCTAAGATCAACCCAAGCCTCCAATTAACCTCCAAGATCACCCAAGATCACTATCTCTCTCTAGAAATGCGTCTTTGGTGTTTTGGATCGGAACCCTAAAAGAAAAACCAAGCTCTCTTTTCAGAACCCGCAACTGCCTTTTTTATAGTTGAACTGTGCGTGAGTCAAGGCCTCAGGTCACGGCCGTGACTTGGCCATGACCATATTGTGATCACGGCTGAAAACGCAGAGTACTGCGCTGACATTACGACCTCCCGGTTATTGTCATAGGCTCATGGCTTGAGGCCGTGACGTGAATAGTGCCCCCGAGATAAAACTTGCCCCTTGGATCCGTACGATTGTCACGCCCTACTTGCGCTTGTCACGGCATGAGGTCGTGATCTTAACGTCCAGGCTGTGATCTTGGCATCTTCTTCACTTTTTGGCACGGTTCGACCTCCAAATGACCCAGAACTCGTCATTGACCTTCCCACACGTATGAGGATATGAAAGGTTACAATAAAACACAACCTATCATAAAATAGGTTGGGGAATGTCGATTACCAAGTCAAACACTCAATATATAAAAGGGGTAAAACATTTGTAAATACGCAGAATCCGCCCCCCTCCGTCTCACACACATACACTTAAATGTTTGTTTGTCCCCAAGCAAACCAAGTACAACACAAGGTAAACTAACAACTTCATTCTTGAAAACTTTGGGGGCTTGTCATAGAAGCACAAAACATGTGAATCACAATGGCTAATTGGCACCGACATATGAACAACATCAACAACAATCTAGACAACCACCACAAATGACATTCGGATGCAATAAAACCGTGGAAAGGAAGAGTTCTCACCTTGTTCACAAACCAATACACAACCTGAATAAAAGACTCACCAATCACATTCATCCATGCATACAGATCAAGTCATCAGAACAAACGACCGAGCAATCTAGGTCCTCACCGGTAGGGGTGCCGATTCGGTTCGGTTCGGGTAACCGAACCCGAAACCCAGCAAAACCCGAAAACCCAAACCCATTACTACACAACCCGAAACCGAACCCAAAATTGCAGCTTGCCGGTTTCGGGTACCTGAACCTGGAAAAAATACTTGCGGTTTCGGTTGTTAGCTTGAACCCGAAGACACACGGCTAATGAACTGCGGAAGAAAGCTTAAAGACTCTCTCTCTCTCACTCTGTGCGTGTCTCTCTCTCCTCTGTCTCTGCATCAAAGCTTGAACAGGAGGAGGAAGAGGAAGAAATTCGCAGTATATATAGCCAGAGAAGAGAAACCCAAAAGGAAAAGGCAAATCAAATTCACTAGATTCTTGTTTTCATCAAACGCTAATCCAATTCAGCCTCTCACTGCCTCACTCCCACAACCCACCAAAAAGAGGAAGCCACTGAGTGAAGCGAGTTTCTCTGTGCCAAAGCTGCAGAGCTCGTTTCCTGAAGAAAAGAAAACAGAGCACCCATCAACCTCTGTTTTTCCTTCCAATCCCTCTTCTTCGGCAGAAGCACTTTCAGACCCAGACTCCACCTTCAATTTATTCCAATTACAAGTAAACCGCCATAGATTAATCCCGCCGATCCTCTTTAGCGTCGATTCCTTTCTTTGTTCCTCAAATTATCCTGTTGTTGCTCACTTGCTCTATTGTAATTCGATTGAAAGAGGACCCAAACGCTAGGAATCCATCAGGCTCATAAGTCATAACCAGGAACCCAAATGCCACAATACTCATATTCTCCCCCTTAATCTATCAGCCGCTTCAATTAACAGGGGACACAAACAGAACGGGAAAGGGAGGGGAAAGAAGAAGGCCTTACTGGGTTGCCATAGTCGAGGTTGGAGAATCGAATAATACGGGAGTAGTCGACCCACTTCGCCGTGGATGGGTTTCGGTCGTCCGCAGCTGAGTTTCTCATGAGGCCGCTGGCAATGAGTATGATTATGGCGGCGAGGACGATGACGGCGAGAGGGTTGATGGCGGTCGGAGGTCCCCACAAGGTTGCTATGGCGAGGGAGTTGAGGGAGGCTCCGACCGGCGACGCGAAGCGTCGAAAAGCTAGTGTACTGGGCATGTGTTGGAACGAAACCGAAACGGCACCATCTCTTCAAAGCTGCATCTGGAAATCCAATAAAGCCATTCGGTTTTTCGGGTTAAGCTCGGTTCTCGGGTTTCCATGAAACCGAAACCGCTGCTTCACATAATCGGGTTGGAACTGAGAACCCGAAACCCAAAAATGCATTTATCGGTTCGGTTTCGGGTTAACCCAAAAAACCGAAACCGACCTGACACCCCTACTCACCAGGGTACATGATAATATGAAGAAAGAATCGCCCACTCTCAACCAGTGGGGTCAGGACCGTGTTGATGCAAAAGATGTGCATACACTTACGCTCATCCCTATCGTCTCTCCACCATTACGGTAGCCTCTAAATGCTATTATTCACATGATGGGTGTCACCTCTAGCTTGTCTAGAGGTCTTGACACGGGTTCAGATGACTGGATAGAGTCTAGAGTCTAGGACATGGATAGAGGTCTTTGGTTTTTTGGGTGGTAGCACATATAGCATGACGTTCCACAATTTCAACAAACTAGAACCACTTACAACAACCAAAGACCAATCACACAAGTAATAACCACATGTTCCACAATTCCAAACCACAAGCACTGACGAACAACCATTCACAACATACTTTCTTTGCAACCACTGCTATCAAGAAATTTTAAGCACAAGAGTGAAGGAGGTAAACAATCATGTAGGTGTCTCTAAGTTTGACTACTAAGAAACACTTTTTTTTAGCATAAACAACTTTGGTGGCAACTCTTCTTCTTTGCCCACTTTATTTATTTTTTTTATTTGATGAGGGTTAGTTGAAAGCTAAAAACACATGCCCCCTTCTTGAACTTTATGAGCACATGCTCACTTTTAAGAACTTCCTCCAACACTCATTTTCACATTTAGCAGAAACCATGCAAGAATCACTATGGGGAACCTCAACGAAACTCAAGTAACGAGAGCTTCAAGAAACAATGGTGACTCAAAAATGGTGTAGACACGAAGATAGCAAGATCACTGCTCAAAAGGGTTGACTAAGGGATAATATGATCGAGACGGTCAACTTTAGGGTCGTGGACTACTCCTATCATCCATCTTCCTCACTAGTGGCAACGTGAACGCTATGTGTCATGGTAATAGGGATCTATCACACAAGAAAGAAACGAGTAGGCACAACTCTCACATGGCTACCTATATGCTCTATCATTAGTTATGACTTACCAATTTTGATGCATAAGAAACTATAAAGACTGAGTAATCAATCCAAAACATCCATTGGCTCACAAACACATGAAAACTGAACATTTACACAATCATAGTGCATATCTTAGTCATCGTCATAGGTTGTTCTCAATCACAACCAAGTCATTCATGCATCGACGCTCATAGCCTCGAGATTCAAACCAAATCACCGAAGGTGGCACTATGATCATCCAAATGGATAAATTGTTTTGCTTGGAGCCCTCATATTTTTATATTTTGGGCATTCAATTAGGCTCCAAGCACTCAAAATCACACCAATTATTCATACACACACAAGAATAATAGAATACCACCCTCACACTTAATATTGACATTGCCCTCAATGGCATAAAGTAAACGAGGTAGAACAATGTTCCCGAATAGGGTGTGAATGTTGGTGGACGGGATCAGAGGTCGGGTTAGATCCAGAAGAACAAGGAAACGTCCAAAGCACTAAAAAATTCTCAAAGTTTGTCTTATTGAAGAGAAAAGAAAACAACAAATGGTGGTTGGGTTGCCTCCCAACAAACACTTCTTTAACATCGCGAGCCGGACGATGATGCTCGAGTCTCGGTCCACCCCAAAACCTCCTTGAAGTTGAGGTTCTCGTCGGTGAGGTAGCGTCTCAAGTCACGACCGAATGGTGTGAAACGTGATAGTGATTGGTCGTGAACTTGATAGCAATTCAGGATCCACCCACGATACCTCTTCTTCTTTCATTCTTTGTTCTTTTATTTGCCACATACCATGTAGGAGTAGGACATCATTGATTGACCACCATCACATCGACCAAGAGGGATAAATTATGGTGTGTCCTTTGCTTGGCAAAGAGCCACAAATGGGTCCTTCTCGAGTAGCGCATCAAGGTTGGGTGGAAAGATTTCATAACATTTGTAACTTGTAGAAGCTTCAACCACCACGACCTCTTCCTCATCTTTGACACCACTTGCTTTGGTGTAATTATCTTTAACCTTCCAGTCACCAAACCCTCTACCTATAACTTTTCAGCATTTTCTTCAATCACTCTTGTCTCTAGTACTGCACATATATCAACCTTATTTCTATACGGCCTTTCTGAAAAATTCATGTTTCTTAGGGCTGTTGAAACCCCCTGATTCCATGTTAGAACCTTCATTAGACTTAGGTTTTGGTGGCCGCCCATGCATTTTCTTAACCTGCACCACCTCTTTAACTTTTGCTGCTCTTAACTCTGGAAACTCCTCGTAATTTCTTTAAGGTGACACAACAATCTCACCTACATCAAACTGCACTAGTGTAGACAGTGCTTCATATCTATTACCACTACCCGGACTTCTCACATAATTCACATCATTCTAAAACTCACTATCAGAAGGGAGCCTAGAAGGATCCCATGTTGGAGCTGGCTCTAGAGAGACCACCAGGTTAGCAACAGCTATCTGAAGATTCATACAACCCTGATTCTTCAAGGGATAGGTTGCACCTGGAGCCTGCACCTTCTTCATAGCATATAGATCTTTACCAGAGACAAGTCAGACAACCCTACTTCATGTCCTTCGTCCACCCTTTCCACCTCCATGCTATCTCTTACATGAATATCCATAGTCTACTCAAAATTGTTTCCACTTCCAATCTCAACATCATCCACACTAACCTCTTCTTCAACTGAAGTCACCACAACCTCACAAGTATGACAAAAAATATTACACTTGGTACAGATTTTTGGCAGATGCATGAACTCGGTATGTACAAAGAAAGATGGTCTACGATCGGGAACAAGTTTCAATACTTCGGGGAAAGCATAATCAATCTTCATTTGTACACGAATTTTGGGAAAACCAACTCTTCTTCCCACCCTTGTAGATTGATCTAACCATAAGGGAAAGCCTAGCATGCTAGCTAACCTGGTAAGAACTAACCCCGTGATGTATTCATCAGGCAGGTCATACAAATTCACCTAGATTGGAATGGTAGCTCGATATTCAATCGCATGGATTCCTGGAGTCCACTTCCTCAATAAGAACATATCATTCTGAAAATGCCAAGGACCATTCAAGAAAACCCAATTTGCTCTAAGAAAGAGACTAACATCCAGACTCAAAAAGCTCAATGCTCCCCGATTTTCCCCAAAGTCGATTCGCCCAATTTCGCAACTGTCGAATTTGCGGCTTGAAGTGCGGGAATTGCCCCACTAAGCAATTAGAATGCCTTTTCATTCCATCATGAATTAGTTCCTCAGGGATGCGCAATCCACCGTCCATGATTTTTGGCTCTATATAGACCAGTCTATTAGCCTCCTTGATGCCAAATAGATCAGCCCAAGGTTTTGCAAGATCTGCTCCCATGGCGAAACCTCTAGCAATAAGAATTTTAGAAAGGAAATACGAAAGGTAGGAACATAGAAGAGAGACTAACGAGTTTCGCGGCGGGAGATCATTACTAGCAATAGGAGCCGACAAGGACATCGCCAGAGCAGCACTGTTAGGAGCCTCGCTTCGAACAGAAAATAGTTAGACGAGAGCTAATGACCTAGAGAGAGAAATGAAAGAGAGAGAATTGCATATCCAATCATTCGAAATTCAGTATCTCGAGTATTTCTCCCAAAAATTATATATACTATTTTTTTATTAAAAAATTATATATAATAGAATGCTTAGATATCAATCACTAGATATGATGAACTAAATAATACGATGTCAACGGAGTATATAAATATGAGACCGATGAAAAATTTACTATTATTTTCTTTATCATGATATTAATCACATTTATCATACATGACATACACATTATGACATTTAATATATAAATTTTATCATATTTTAGTTTAAGAGTTCAACTATCTAGAATGATAATAAGTTGAGTTCGAGTCGAGATCGTGAGTTTATTGATGAGTCAAACTCGAATAGATATTGTGAAGTCCTTAATGAACCGAACTTGAATCGAGCTCGAGTAAAACATGAATTAAAATTTTAACAAATAAATTAAGTTCGAACTTATCATTTATTAACGAACTAAATCCAAATCACGCAAACTCAACTCAATTGGTTTGCATAACTTCTTATAAAGAGATGAATAATAGAGGCAACTAAACGCTTAGGAAATGTTCCCTAAAATATGTATAAAGGATCGTCAATCGTCATTAACTTGCTCCAAGTCAAACCAAGCTCATCGTTCCACGTTCCGAACATAATCTAATCAATCAAATTATTAACTATTAAGACCACCCACCACACACTTTTCTTCCCTAGCAGCTAAGCAATTCAATTCTTCTTCATCATCATATATGTTTCTTCAGGAACTCAAACCCACTCCACCAACCTCATCGAGTATCTCTTTTCTTACTTTGTTTGTTTTTGCTGTAATTCAAGACCCACATTCGACACATATTTCTTTGCATCTGGGAATACCGACACACCAATCATTCTCAGATCGAGGCCCAAAAGTTTTTTTTTTACAAGATTTCACTTGCACATCACATCAATATTTTATATCTTGTTCTCTCAAAAAAATAATATATATGGTGGCGTATGATATTATGAACCAGAAGCACGTGAATTTGAAAAAAAATCATTTAAAATTTACTTTAATTTGTAGGATTTAGGGGTTTAGGGTTAGGGTTTAGGTTTACAGTTTGGGATTTTGCATTGGGATTCAAAATTGAAGGTTAAAGGGTTAGAGTAATAGATTGATTTGTTATGATTCTATGGCATATCATCATATTAGATTGAGAGTACTCGTTAAAGTTCAAAATTTAATGTATTATGGACACTTTTAGAGATGGGTGCACTGAGTGCACCCAAAAAAGTGAGTGCACCGAAGTAGCCACCTATATATATATATATATATATATATATATATATATATATATATATATATATATATATATATATATATATATATATATATATATATATGGGTGATTCTATCGTACCTTGGGTAAAATCAAGGGTACAACATACCTTGAGTAAAAAAATGATATCTAGACCTCGAATTGAGCTTAGTTTGGCGTCTGATATTATTCCCAAACCCTTAAGGATTAAAATCTAGGTCTTAGTTTTATAAATCTCATACACTAAGATCAATTTACTTAGAAACAAAAATCAACGACTATGATTTGTCGAAATATATGCAACAAATTACAGGCACAATCTTAGGGATTAGGCTCTTTGATTTAGAAATCTAAGACCTAGGTTTCAATCATCAAGGGTTAGAGTATAGTATCATGTCCAAAAATTCGGTTAATTCGAGGTCTAGATAGCATTTTTTTACTCATGGTATGTCGTACCCTAGATTTTACCCAAGGTACGATAGAAGCCACCATATATATATATATATATATATATATTGTTGGGTGCACCGAAGTAGCCACCTATATATATATATTGTTGTGCTATTAGCTCCATACACATACTCTACTCTTCTCTTCCACCATTCATCTACCCACTATTGCAAGTTTGCAACCTCAAACCACTTCCCCAAAACAATTAATTCAAACAAAATGAACAAAAAAAAACTTGGTTGTTGTAAATTACGAGACTCGAGATCGAACTATAAAAATTGCTTAATGTCAACCAGATCGATAAGCTACACCACATATATTAAAAATCTGTACATAGTGACATAATATGGTCGAACTATCAATTCATAGTCATACATGTAGGTTTTTACGGTGTTATATTGGTACATTAGTGACTAAACCATAGTATCTTATTTTACTAATAATTTAACAACAATATCATATTGGTAACCTATCAATTAAAACACTATTGTACCACCAAATATCATTTTACTAACTTGTCCAATCAAATCTCCGGTTCCATTTTACAGTCACGGCAAAGAACAAAAAATGAACAACAATTCAGTCCACGTAAATAAACAAAAGCACATTACGATATTATGATAACAACTAATAGATCTTAGATCTTAATGCCAATAATCATTTCAATAAAAACGATATTTCATCACCCCTCCCATATTCCCATTCCCGCCATATACCATTATCCCTCAATTCCCCTGTACAAACTACAAACCAAGAATCAATCATCCTTCTCCTCCTAATAATATTATGATATCTTAATTTATCATCATCACTAAAAATCCCAATTCCTAAAATCTTTCACACCCATAAGCCCATATCTAACAAAAAGTTGCAAATCAGTCCCCCCCAAATTTCCCTTTTTGTCACATCTCAATCAACATTAATCAATAGAAAATATTCTGCGGAGAAAGAGAGAGAGAGAGAGAGAGAGAGAGAGAGCCACTAATATGTTGACTGTTGTTGTTGTTTGCTGTTCCTAATTCTCTCACGCAACGCTTATGATGCTGTCCCCACTCGACATGCCCTGAAAAGCAGAGGACCTCGTTCCCCCTCCCGCCGCCGATGACGATGACTGCTCGTCGGAGGAAGGACTAGTGGAGAGCCTGAGCGATAGAGGCAAAAACGTCTCCTGATGACGACCGCCGGAACGGTTACTACTGCTCATCATCTTCTGGTTCCAATTGAGATCGGCCGCCACCTTGGAAGACGGCGGAATTGGGATTGGTCGAACCAGCCTGCTGGGTTTCGCTGTACTCGTCGGCGGTCCTAGCGTCAGCCTCTCGAATGACCCGTCCCCGGTGATTGGTATAGCCACCGGGAAATTATGAACTGGTGGAAGCTTCCCCAGCTGCAGCTGGTTGCTGGTCTTCATCGGAACCACCGCTACCGCCGCCGTTTCTTGATTCGGCGATTTCTGCTGGTCTTCCACTTCCATCATAGAATTGCCGGCGAACTGTGTAAACCAAATACATAACTAATCAATTCCCCAAATTTTTCAGAAACTATATATGTAAATAATAGCAACAACTATGCTTACAGTGTTGTCGGTAGTGATGTCGAAGAGACTGGAGCGGCGTCGCCGGCGATTGTGATTGTTCTTGCGGAGGAAGTACTTCTGAGCGTGACTGGCCACCTGCGTCGGCGTCCGGGTCTTGACGAAATTCCTGGAAATCCCTCTCCAATCGCCTTTCCCGACTTTCTGCAGCCCCACCAGAAACAACCTGTGTTCCTCCTCGGTCCACGGCACCCCTGCAAAACCAATCAAACCAATCCAATCCCCAATTTTAATTAAAATTCCCCCCAAAATTGAATCGTTTATACTGAATTCGAGAAAAAATTATGAAAACCCAATTACCTCGTTTGCGCTCGCGGCTGCGTCCGGAGGCGTGAACGACGTCGTCGGACTCGTACCCGGACGCCACGGCGTCGGCGACGAAGGGGTCCTGATTCCCCTGATCGTACTGCGACAGGTTGTTCATGCTCACGCTCTTCCTGAACGAGTTCCTCCCCGCCGTGACTCGAACCCCGAACAGCATAATCCCGCCCTCCCCCGCCGTGCCACCCCCTCCGTCGCCGGAATTGACAGTCGTATCGGCGGTGTCGCCGTGGCAGGTGCGGGAGTTGTGGCCGTTGTTTCCGCAGTGAGAACAGCTGCGAGACATCTCTCTCTCTCTCTCTCTATGCCTCTACTCTACTCCTCCGTGGGTGCTTCTCGTCCCTGGGATTATTATCTCTGCGTGTGGAAATTGTTAACGGAGACAGAGTGAGAGACACAGGGGAAATCTGGGAAATTTGTGTCGCTGATTGTTGATGATGATAAAGAAAGGAGAGAGAGAGAGGGTGCGTTTGGGTTTTTTGGGGGATCGGACGGTGGGGAGATGGGCAGACTTTAAGCGGGAGGAATGGATCGGGTCCGTCCGTTCTTTGCCGGGCCGTGCGTTGGTTTGACGTTTTGCGCCGTCGATGGAAACGAGAAGAAGTGGTATCGTAATATCCTAACATCCTTAAATTTTAGTACGTGCGTATTTTCTTGTAAATGGGATTTCCCCGGCGACAAATCAAATGAAATACATCGTCTTTTTTATTTTCTTTTAATTTTGTGCCTTGAGATACTGTATTTTCGGTTGAGCATAAAAATCGCAGACAGATATATCCAATATATGCACACATGTTTGGAAGAAGAAGAAAAAAATGTAGTGATTTTTACAATGTGGTCAAACTCTTTTTTCTTCTTCTTAAATACGTTTACTAGACTCACATCACCGTGTTCGATGTTCGAAGAATACTCTAATTGTGTATACTACCAATTCAACCACATTGGAGTTACCGAATATAATTTTGTAAATATGGTCTTACCAATTCAACTACGATTCAGTTCCCGGCTGGCAGAAGTAGTTTCAAGTCCCCCAGTGATAAGGTCCGATGGGGCATTTCGGAGAGATGTCAACGGTAGAGTTAAATTTGTGAGATTTGGAGCCGATTCATCATTACTCTTCGCATATAATGAGTTTTAATGAAGGTTGGTATGATCCTTTTTCTATTGGAAGTTTTGGCACTTCGGGATCCGATGGTTTGGTGTTTTAATCATGGATTTCATTATGTTTGCTTCTGTGGTGACTCCTCCCAAATTGGTAATTCGTCGAATTATGTACAACGATGTGCATCATGACCATGACGGAGCGATCCTCGAAGAAGTTCGAAATTGGAAGACTGATTTTTCATTTACTCGGTTTATTTTTACTCCTCGTAGTACTAACATGATTTTCCATTTAGGGACAAAAAAGCTCTTGCATAAATTACCTTTTTTTACTGTAGTCACCCATCTATTCACCATCTATTTATCACCCAAAAAAAAAACTCCAATACGGTTTCATACCACATGACATGAGGTTATATATTATCTGGGTCTTTCCTTCCTTTGTCCAAGAAGAATTACCGCACGCTTGATTGTTTTCTTGCGAACTTAGTTGTCACAACACAAGTTGCCAAATAGAAAAGAAGATTGGAATTGGCATATGAAATTATCTAAGCAAAGGAAGGGATAAGCAAGGAGAGGGACGACGGGGTTGAGAACATCCATTGTTGTGGTGTTAGATTGGGTGAAGATGGGATAAAGTTTAAGATTGATTGTTTTTTTTTTTTTTCTTTCTTCTTTTAACTCGTAAAAATGCCAAGATTTTACTTCATTAGGGATATGCATGTCCAATATATTTAATTATTTATAAAATAATTCCTACCTTCAGAATTTAAATGGGGAATCTGTATATTCCTCGCATCGGAGGGTTGCAACAACTAGGGAAACAAAATTTTACCCTATTCTCGTCTTATTTTAGTATCAGATAATAGGATTGGTAAATGGTCAATTAGTTATCGGTTTAAGTGAATCACTAGTCAGTAATTCTCTATTGATGAGTTGGTGTGGTTATTTGTGAGGTAGATTTGGTTAATGGTGATTGATTAACTAATAACCGATAATGGATTACTAGACAGATCATATTTTTTTGAGTGAGACCCAACGGGAAATCTAAATTTTTTGTGGTGCTTATTCACCAAGTGGATGATGATATTTGACTCTTTGTAAATTTATGTCGTCGACCAAATTGACTTCATATTATGATTTCATGATTAATGATACATTTTATTAATATTATTACATTTAAATGAAAAAATTATCCAAACGAAATGTTTCTATTGGCTGAAATTAGTGTTAGCATTGACCATAATTAATGAAGAAAAAAGGGAAGGAGAAGCACGCTAGTCATTAATAATAATTGGGCGAAGGGAGGGTGGACCAGCTGTTCATTGTTGCATTAAATGTGAGAAAGGAAGGGGGACAACCGAAGTAGGTCAAAAACTCCACAAAGTAAGCTAGAATCTCAAAGCAGGATAGAACCTCCTCAAAGTAGGCCTGACATACACAAAGTATACCAGAACCTCCGTATAGTACGCCAGAACCTCCTCAAAGCAGGCAAGAACCTCCTCAAACTAAGCCAGAACCTCCTCATAGTAGGCCAAAACCTTAAAGTTGGCCAAAACCTCAAAGTAGGCCAGAACTTAGCTCTCAGGCGTCACTCTCGAAGGACGTGATCCATTGTTTCCCTCACACTTCGCAACTTTTAATGCACTTTAGAATCCAAATAGCCAATTGCAGGGGAGGGGGATAACATAAGTGAATCAATTGTATGCCCTCGTCAATTCCTTTGAGTTTCAGTCTTGCGACCGTACTCCCCAGGCGGAGTGTTTCATGTGTTAGATGGGCCCCTGATCCGCGTAGACCAAGAATGAACACTCCGTACAGTAGGCCAGAACCTCCTCAAAGCAGGCAAGAACCTCTTCAAACTAAGCCAGAACCTCCTCATAGTAGGCCAAAACCTTAAAGTTGGCCAAAACCTCAAAGTAGGCCAGAACTTAGCTCTCAGGGGTCACTCTCGAAGGACGTGATCCATTGTTTCCCTCACACTACGCAACTTTTAATGCACTTTAGAATCCAAATAGCCAATTGCAGGGGAGGGGGATAACATAAGTGAATCAATTGTAGGCCCTCGTCAATTTCTTTGAGTTTCAGTCTTGCGACCGTACTCCCCAGGCGGAGTGTTTCATGTGTTAGCTGGGCCCCTGATCCGCGTAGACCAAGAATGAACACTCATCTTATACGGCATGGGAGATTCACCCCCGAAAGGAGATCCTACCTTCAGAAATGATAACTAAAAAATAATTTAAGAACGACATATACTATGTAAAATATGAGTGTAGAGAATTCAGATAAGTTAATAAATACCCACAATTCATGTCTAAAGTACAACAACTCATAGTATCTTAACAATAAATTCATAAACATATATCTTAACAATAAGCCACCTTCCTCTCTATGTTAATGAATTTGGGAAGAGCCTAGCTGGTGAATTATATTACTCTATTGAAGCCGAGAATGCATCCAAGTAGCTGGTATGTTGTGTGTATCTTTAAATCTCAAATATATATATCTTATATTGTTGGTGATTTACCTTTAAAATATACTTTCTACAATTAATTTCATAAATGTGAACTAAAAGCGTAAAGCGTTTTGTGAACTAGATGCGTAAAAGCGTAAGCTTTTAAGCTTTGAAGCACAATTTGGTCCGATATTATACACTAATATTTTAATATGAAAACAAAAGCGTTTTTGTGACAAAGAAACATAAAACCGTAAGATTCTAAATTTTAAAGTGCGATTTTGAGTGCATTGGTCCAAACTTCATGAATGAACAATTGAGAGATAGTATAAGATATTAAATTTGAGTGTCTTGATAGACAAATAAGATCATATACTGAGAGTTCATGAACATCCAAAGTGTCAAGTGTCCATTGGGATGAACAAATTTATCCAATAATAAAGTATCTTTACTAAGAAATTGCAACTAGATGTCATAATCTGATCAACATCATTGGTTGAGAATTTGTTCAAACTCGAATATCATAAATTGATATGTATTGTATAATATAATAAATTTAAGTATTTTGGTTGAAAAATCTTTACATAAGATTTTATATATGACGTGATAAATCTTTGCGGCATGGTTTATGATTATGGAAACGAAGCATCATAAGTTAATGTGTTAACGGTTGAGAATTTTCAATATATAAATACACTACATACTCAGTTAATACAAAACATAAAAAAAATTATAAGATCCAATTAGTTTAAATATGTATAAATTATTTCTACCAAAAAAAATGTATAAATTAATTAATATAAATGATAAAATAAAATTCTCGAGCCAATAAAACGCATAAAAAGCTAGGGTTAATTGCACCATCTAACACTTAAGTTTACTATTTGTTGCAGGTTAACCACCTAAGTATTTTTTGTTGTAACTAAATCATTTACGTTAACTTCTTGTTGCACCGTTACCTTTTCCGTCCATCGAACTAACAGTAGGTGCCCAACTGTAATTTTTCATGCCACACGGACTGCCACATCAGCTCTTATAGACTAAGTCATATGTGGGCCCTGCATCCAATAAAAGCGTCCTTTCTAATCTTCTTTTCCCCCAATCCTTCCCGCTCAGAATACCTTCCATATTTGCAATTCTATTAAAAACCATCCTTCTGCGTGTAACTCTATTCTCCAATCTCTTCAATTCTATTCTCAGTTCCACTCTCTACTCTCTTCTATTCTATTCTCCTCTTCTTTTCTCTTCTCCAGCGCCAAAAATCATCCTATATTCTCCAATCTTCTTATCTTCTGCATTTTCCCCAATCTCTTCAGCAGCAGCTCCATTGTGCCGTTGCGCGGAACCAACGATTCTCCGTACCTCATGAACCGATACCAATCCCGGTAGACGCTTCTTTGACGGCTCCAACTATGGGGTATGACTAACATTGGAATCTTGGCTTTCAATTTCACTTACATAGCTCTGACCTAGTTTTTATTTTCGTTCTTTCCCTGGCAATAAGAAGGAAATAATCAGAGGAAGAACCATATAATTGTCATTGCGGGAGCCTGCACCAGCGGAACAAATAGAGTATTTGCAGCAGGGGTATAGATCACTAACTGTAGTTTTTTTTTGCAGCAGGTGTATAGATCCTTCTTCGTGTGATGGTCTCACAAGTTACAGCTTGGTGATTTAATTTTTGTTTTCTCTGCTGGGAAGAGTGCTTGACGTTTAAGCTCCTGGAATCAAGTTTGAAGTCGACTGTTTACCTATGCTCAAGAATTGTTTGGGTTTTTTGGCCCATTTTTATTGGATGGGGCCCACATATGACTCAGCCTACAAGAGCTGATGTGGCAGCCCGCGTGGCATGGAAAATTACAGTTGGGCACCTACTGTTAGTTCGATGGACGGAAAAGGTAACGGTGCAACAAGAAGTTAACGTAAATGATTTAATTGCAACAAAAAGTACTTAGGTGGTTAACGTGCAACAAATAGTAAACTTAAGTGTTAAATGGTGCAATTAACCCTAAAAAGCTAGTACTATATGATATGCAGAGCGTTCATAGAAGAGTATAATTAAAACTAATTCCCCATTTATGTTTC